AAATTTTTTTCAATTAGCCAAGTAGTACACATGTCCATAGTCCCAGCTACTTGGGAAGCTGAGGCAAGAGGATCTCTTGAGTCCAGGAGTTCAAGGATGCAATGAGCTATGATAATACTGCTGTGCTCCAGCCTGGGCTGAACAGAAAAGGACACTCCCTCTATAAAGGAAAAAGAAAATTGAAGAACTGAGAAGTCGTACCCAATTGCTGGCCCCTCATGACCAAGCAGGACTATAGGTAGTCCAAGTCGTCTCAGACAAGAGAAAGCTTCAGATAGTGTCCCAGGCACCTGCAGCCTCTTCAAGACTTCAAATGCCAAGGTGGGTGGCAGAGAAGAGGGGACACACCTGTCCACCAGGAGAAAGGCTGCCAAGATGCAAAACAAGCCGAAAAAACTAAGTGGCAACAACGCAACACAGTCAATGCGTTACCACTTGTTTCTCAGAAAACAAAATTACATTTCCAGAGGTCCACAGAAACCCACGTTAAAGCCCAGAGCAAGTGAACTGCTCAGAGATGAGGAGATTATAGAGCAAACTACATTAAGAAGATTAAAGGCCATAAATAAAATCATTTTAAATTTAAACATAATGCAAAAAGAAAATGCATGGACTGACTGCAATTGTGTAAAAATGTTACCTCACACCTAGGTGTGGAAAGGGAAGGAACACCTACATGGGATCGGGGCTGGTACTGCCATAAAGATAATTTAAAGCCTGCTCCATCAACAAACAAATAGGGGAAGGGTTTGTATTTCAGTATTTAAGAGACATAGCATAATTGGTTTATCTTTTTAAAAGAAGACTAGAATTTGGCTTTGGCACCTGTGGCTCAAGCAGCTAAGGCACCAGCCACATACACCAGAGCTGGTGAGTTCAAATCCAGCCAGACCTGCCAAACAACAATGACAACTACAACCCAAAAATAGCCAGGTGTTGTGGCAAGCGCCTGTAGTCCCAGCTACTTGGGAGGCTTTGGCAAGAGAATCGCTTGAGCCCAGGAGTTGGAGGTTGCTGTGAGCTGTGATAACACAGCACTCTACCTACGGGGACAGCTTAAGGCTCCATCTCAAACAAACAAAAAAAAAAGACTAAACCAAGAGTATTCAATCTTTTTTTTTTGTCTCTGCCAAACACTAACAAAAGCCGATTCTCCGGCCATCCTCAAGGAGTATTGGCTCAGGCTGCCCTAAGGGCATTTCCCCTTAACTGACCTCTCCCCAAGTCTTCCCAGGCCTTCCCAGCAGGTTGAACCCTTCTTTCACACCTCCTACCCCTCTCCACTTTCATCAAGACACCATCTGGTGAAGCCTCTGTAAATCCCTGTCAGTTCATTCTCCATTAACAGTCACTGCACAAGCCTTCCCTAACTTTATTCCCAGATAAATAAAGAAAATAAACACCCAATTTGGACAGCCGCTGGAAGCATCTGAAATTAGTAAAGCCACAGGGTTTCAACCTGACAGGCTGTTATGAGCAAGACCCTTTCCATGAGCAATATTTTACTTTGGCTCCAACAAGTGGATAAATAAATCAGAAAGACTGAACGCAAAGAAATGGAGTTAAAGAACACGGTCGCTTGTTAACCACTTCCTCCCCACTAAGTCACCCAGGTGTTCTGCTGCCCTTCAGCTCCTGAATGAATAACCGGCATCAGTGGCTCTGAGGTTCCCAGGCAGTGGGGCCAGTGCCTGCGTGGTCATGCGCAAGGGCTCGAGTCAGGGCGCTGCTGTGGAACCCCCCAAACCACATTTCTGCCCTTCCTGGACTTGCAGGTGAAATAACACAGACGCTGACTCCCTTCCTTTCACCCTTATCAAACTCCAAGCAGAAATGTCCAGAGGGGACAGAGAGGACGTCCTGGGAAGGATGGGAAGGGTGAGAGCCCCTTAGTCAGAACTGAGGCCAAAGTCCTTGGCTCCACCTCCTTTGTTCTGCTCCTGGGCCCATCTGCTGAGCAGTGGGGCTTTGTCACAAGTGGGATGAATTTGCAGTTCCAGGAACTGAAAAGACCTGAAACTGAATTTACCCACAGCCTCAAAAGTCACTGGGTTGTAAATTCCAAGAGCCACAAGCATCATGGAAACAAATTGGATAACCGTAAGGACACTCACAGAGCATCTTGGACAGGTCCAGCTGGCGCCCTTTCTGAGTCTGCTGAGCAAATTAATAGTGAAACCTAAGGAAACCTTTACCCGGCCTCAGAGTGAAGGCCAAAGACTGTTTCCAAGGACAATTCTTCCAGAAACACTTATATCCAGTGGCTGCAGCAATTATAAATAATTCCCATCTATTTCTAAGACCTTCTAAGACAAATTCCCCTTCTCATGTCAACGGCAGGAATTAATTTCTTTTAAAATACCCTCAAACAGATGTTTACTGTTAGGCTGATCTTTCTGCCAAATAATGAGGTTCTGGGTGTTACTGGTGAATTCTGACACCTCCATCTGACATTCGCCCACCATTCATTCCCAAACCACTCCTGATTTTCTGCAGAGAATGTTCAGAACTTTCCTAGGGAG